CCAAAAATAAGATCCATCGTATTTCTTCATTTTATTTATTTATTTATTTATTTTCCATTTCTGGAATACAAAACGCGTTACCACAAGACAATATGAAAAAAATGATGCGGACAAAAATAAAAATAAAAAATGAAAATCCAAAAATAAGATACATCCTATTTCTTCATTTTTATTATATATATATATATATATATATATATATATATATATATATATATTTTTTTTTTTTTTTTTTTTTTTTTTTTTTTTTTTTCATTTCTGGAGTAAAAAGTTCGTTCGTATGCCAGCTCCGTGCAGGTAGAAAATGACACAGGTGTTGATCGAGCGCTGTAGAGAGGGAGCTCACACCTGCACACCTTAATCGCCTGTTGGGGCCGACACGTCATAGGGGGAGGGGGGGAGGAGGGGGGAGTAAGAGAGAGAGAAAAGGGGGGATAGAGAGAGAGGAAAAGGGTGAGAGAAAGGGGAAAAAGAGAGAGGGGGAGAGGGAGAGAGATAAAGAGGGATGTCGAGATGGAGAGAGAGAGAGAGATGAAGGAAGAGAAAGAGGGAGAGAGTGAGAGAGAGATTGAAGAAGAGAAAGAGGGAGGAAGGGAGAGAGAGCTTGAAGAAGAGAAAGAGGGAGGAAGGGAGAGAGAGAGAGAGAGATGGATGAAGGAAGAGAAGGAGGGAGAGAGAGAGAGACGGGGGAAAGAATAGAGAAAATGGAAATATAGAATTGGAAATCGAGAAGGAAAAAAAGAAAAAGAAAACAGTGAGAGGGAAAGGGATAAGGAGAGAAGAAAAAATTGCACATGTCTCGTTATTTCTGTTGTTTTTTTCGACGTATCTCTTCAACCATCTGTTCGTCTTCCTCGGCCATTTTTCCCGTTGAGTTCTGAGCTGAATGGACAATCTATCTATCTGTCTATCTATCTACATCTATCCCTCCTCTTCCTTCTTCCTCTGTGTCTCTATTTCCCTCTTCCTCTTCCCTTAATCCTATTCCTCCTTTCTCCTTGTGTCTCTATTTTCCTCTTCCTCTTCCCTTAATCCTATTCCTCCTTTCTCCTTCTGTGTCTCTATTTTCCTCTTCCTCTTCCCTTAATCCTATTCCTCCTTTCTCCTTCTGTGTCTCTATTTTCCTCTTCCTCTTCCCTTAATCCTATTCCTCCTTTCTATCTTATATCACATGTTCCTTTGAATTAAACACAAACAACCGCTTATTATTGCTCACAGCTGATCCATTGCCCCCCCCCCCTCAGCTTTCACTCGCATACACCCTCCCTGATTCTCCACCTCTCTCTCTTCTTCCTTTCTTCATTCCCTTCCTCCTTCTCCTTGTTCCTATCATTCTTCTCTCTCCCTTTTTTGCTTCCCGCTCTCTTTTCTCTATCTCTGTTCTCTCTTCTCTCTCTCTCTCTCTCTCTCTCTCTCTCTCTCTCTCTCTCTCTCTCTCTCTCTCTCTCTCTCTCTCTCTCTTCTCTCTCTCTCTCTCTCTCTCTCTTCTTCTTCTTCTTCTTCTTCTTCTTCTCCATTCATCTCTCTCTATTCTTCTATCTCTCCTCCTCTCCTTTCTCCTCTCTCCTTCCTCTTCTCCTTCTCCTCTCTTTATTTTCTTCCTCTTTCCCCTCTGCCACCCTCTCCTCCTCTCATTTAACCTCCCCTCTCCTGTTTATCTTTCTCCTCTGCATCTTTCCTCTATTCTCTTTAATCCCTCCACCTCTTCTTACCCCTCCTCGCTCCCCCTCTTTCCTCCTCTTTCTTCCACCTACTCCCCAATTCCTTCTTCTTCTTCTCTCCAGCTCTTCTCCACATTTTCGCTTTCCTCACCTTCCCGCTATTCTCCTCCCTGCCTTTGTATTCCATTGTGGCATTGTCTGGCACTGTCTCTCTCTTTTCTATTTTGGTATTTGTTTTCCTCGTTATTTTTTTTACCTTTGAATCTTTCTCTCTTTTATTTCCATTTTTTCCTTTTTTCTTTAATCCCTTTGAGTGAATGATTTGAATGAAGTAATTGTTGTTGTGTGTGTGTGTGTGTGTGTGTGTATGTATGTGTGTATGTATGTATGTAATGTATGTATGTATGTATGTATGTATGTATGTGTGTATGTATGTATGTATGTATGTATGTGTATGTATGTATGTATGTGTATGTGTATGTATGTATGTATGTACTTTTCTTTTTTTTCTTTTTTTCTTTTTTGAATCACGCAATCACCGGAAACCTCTCCATCTCTTCATCTTTCTATATCTATCCTTCCGCCTCCTTCTTCCTCTTCCTCTTCCCCTTCCTCTAATCTCCTTCCTCCTCCCTATCCTACCTCATAAAAAAACGAATAACTGCAAAACCACACAGAGATAAAAAAAATAATAATAATAATAAATAAATAAATAGATAGATAAACAAAATAATATATAAAAAGATAAAAGACAAATAGATAAACAAATAAATATATAAATAAAAAACAAAAGATAAATAGATAAATACATAAATGAAAAATAATAAATAAAATAAGATGATCATGAAAAACTTTCGAAACGCAACTCAGAATGACGTCATAACACGAACCGCAATTAATGAGTGTTTGCTTCTCCCTCCGCCCACAGATGTACACCTTGACGGCATGGGGGAAGGTGGGCGTGATGGCCATCGGCGCGGGCGTAGTGTCTCTTGCCGTGGTGCTGGTGGTGTGTGTGGTCGGCCCCGGCTGCTGGCTCAACACCATCTTCCTGAATGGTGGGTTCTGATTTGTTGATGTTCCTTTTGTTTGTTTTTTTGTTGTCATGTTGTTATGATTGTTGTTGTTATGTTGTTGTTGTTATTACTATTACGATCATTATTGTTATTATTATTGTTGTTATTATTAGTAGTAGTAGTAGTGTTATTGTTATTGTTGTAATTGTTATTGTATATTCTTTACTGTTATTCTTATTTGTGTATGCATATATATGTGTTTGTGTGTGTGTGTGTGTGTACATATATGCATATGTGTGTGTGTGTGTTTGTTTTTGTGTGTCTACATGTACAGTATATGTATATATGCTCGACACACACACACACACACACACACACACACACACACACACACACACACACACACACACACACACACACACACACACACACACACACACACACACACACACACACACACACACACACTTGTGGATGGCTGTCCATTCGTGCGCGAGAACTTTAAAATTTAGTAAATATGATCACTTGATAAGTAAGCAAACGTAGCAGTGTCATTAACCTTAAATATGAATGCAAGTAATCAATAATGTTTTTATATCTAAATCCCCAATATCTGTGGACACGCATTCGTTAATGAAATTGGATATATTTTTTTCTTTTGTTTTGTAAAAATGTATTTAATAAGCTTTTTGAGTTTCGTCTTTTTTATCACATTCAAGTTATATTACGATTAAAATCTACCAAAAAGAATAAGTAACGAACCCTTTCTCAACGAACATTCATCTAAAATCCTTCAGACCGAATCGTGGCATTCAAACCCAAACATTCACACGTTCGAATCCCCTAAACAGACTCGGATTGCGCAAGCAGAACTGAATATAAACATTTACAAGCGCCAGAAAACATATTCGAGTCGTCAAAGGAGATTCGAATCGCCTAAAGACAGATTCGAATCCTCCAAACAGATTCGAAGCCCTCTTAGCTCTTAACGAATCCAATCCTCTTGCGCAAATAAGTAAAAATATGAACACGTTGTATAAGCTTGGAACTCATGTCAATTACAAATGATTATATAATGTTAAAGAATAAGGTCTAATGAGACACTGGCAACTGAATGCACAAATAGGGGTGTTGTCATGGTGACTACGACCTGCAGACACGGCTCGACAGACACGAACATGCGAATACCTTTTTTGACGGTCCGGATGTGTGTGTGTGTGTGTGTGTGTGTTCGTGTATGTGTGTGTGTGTGTTTGTCTGTGCGTGTGTGTGTGTGTTCGTTTATTTGTGTGTGTGTGTGTGTGTGTGTTTTTTATTTGTGTGTGTGGCGCGCGTGTATGTGTGTGTGTTGTTTGTGTGTGTGTGTGTGGTTGTGTGTGTGTGTTTGTCTGTGTGTGTGTGTGTTTTTCTGTGTGTGTGTGTTTGTCTGTGTGTGTGTGTGTGTGTGTGTAAAGAGAGTAAGAAACAGACAGAGAGTATGAGCAATTTTGTCATTTTAACCACTTCAGCTTACATACCTTGATGAATAACATCGGACATAAACACACATAATCGACCTTCAGTTTTATTCGCACTGCATTTACATACATTTGAAATGATGATGATGTCCATTTTGATAAGCAGAAATATAATTCCATCGTCCACTCTCGTTGTAAATGAAACATATAAAAAATTAAAAACACAGATGAGTATTGTTCATTTTGCATTTACATACACATATGTATGAATATATAATGCATGAAATATACATTTTTACCAGTTGTGCATCAGTTCTCACGAGGAAATGGCATGCGTATGTGTGAATGTTGGTATTCATGCATGCATTTGTGTATGAAGTATATGTGTCCTTCCTCACCACACACACACAACACACACACACACACACACACACACACCACACACACACACACACACACACACACACACACACACACACACACACACACATATACACATACACACATACACACACACAAAAAAAAAAAAAAAATCTATATATATATATATATATATATATATATATATAGATATATATATATATATATATATATATATATATATATGTGTGTGTGTATATTTATTTATTTGCATTATATAGATATTTACATATATGTGCATGCATACATTGACGTGAGAATACGGAACGCCCATTTGCCGCCCTTTAATTCCTCTGCTCTGACGTCACGCCCGCAGATGAGGAGAGACGGCGGAGGGAGAAGGAGCGACAGAGCATCTTCCGCAGTGAGGCTCCGACGCTTCGTCTCACCACCTCCTCCAAGAGCCCTGAAGATGCGCCCAAGTCGGACCTCACCCTGACGCATACGTGAGTTTGTTGAGGGGGGTGGGGGGTATAGGGGAGGGGGGGGGGGGGGTTGGGTGGTGTTGGTGTGTGTGTTTGTGTGTTTGTTGTTTTTTTTTTTTCGTTCTCTTTCTTACTTTCTTTTTTTTCTATCTCTCGGCTCGGTCTCTCTCTCTCTCTCTCTCTCTCTCTCTCTCTCTCTCTCTCTCTCTCTCTCTCTCTCTCTCTCTCTCTCTCTCTCTCTCTCTCTCTTCTCCCTCTCCCTCTCCCTCTCTCTCTCTCTCTCTCTCTCTCTCTCTCTCTCTCTCTCTCTCTCTCTCTCTCCTCTCCCTCTCTCTTTCTCTTTCTCTTTCTCTCTCTTCTCTCTCTCTCTCTCTCTCTCTCTCTCTCTCTCTCTCTCTCTCTCTCTCTTTCTCTTTCTCTCTCTCTCTCTCTCTCTCTCTCTCTCTCTCTCTCTCTCTCTCTCTCTCTCTCTCTCTCTCTCTCTCTCTCTCTCTCTCTCTCTCTCTCGAACGCGGAAACATCATTGCTTCCTTTTCATCTTGGATGGTATTCTTTAGTCGTCTCCTATTGTGCACTTTTATTTTTTTTTTTTTTTTTTTGGCTTTTGTCATTTCTTGCCCTTCGTAAGATTGATTTTTCGTCTATTTCTCCCTCTCTTTTCTTATTTGATTCCAACCTTTTCCGTTTTCTTTGGACCTTTTTCGCTTATATTTTTGTATTATTTTTTTCTTCTTTTATAACACAAAGTGTAGTAATTTTTTCTCCAATAGAGATGGCGTCGAAAGTAAATAAACAAACTACAGAAAAAAATACACAGAAATGTATCTTTATGTTTATTTTTGACTTTATGTTGGTTTTATAGGCCTTTGACTTTGGAAATATTCTATATTGAACTGATACTTGACCAAAGAACATTAACGAGAAATTTTTCTTAATAGTTTGCCGCTAAAAACCGTAAGACGAGCATCCAAAATTTCCCTCCGCGAAGCTCTATTAGGTCGCTTAAATGATCAAAACTTTCGAGTTTACAACAGACTCGAGAAAAGAAGATGGGAAGAAGTTACACGTAAACTTCTAAATACCCAGAGATTATAGGGGAGACTATACCTTTTTTTCATTTTCTTCTTATATAAGAAATAAAAGGCTTTTATTACTTTTGAAAGTGTGTAGTTGTGTTCTGTGGCGATGCCTGGCAATGAAATTTTTTTTGCTGACGTGAACGCTTAACCGGATGCATATTTTAGCTTCATACTGATAAAAAAAAAACTTTTCTCGCTGACCTATCTAATGTATTTTTTGATGTTGTTTTGTTTTGTTTTCCGTTGAGGGAACGTTTCGCTGTCTGCTTCTCTTTCTTGCGGGATTTAAGTGTCCAAATTATCAGATGTTTGTGTTTATTATGTTCTCGTTTGGTAACTTGGCAAAGCTGAGAAAATGGTTTTAGGATTTCTTAAATTATTCGGTAGTATAGGCACGTTACTTAGAACCAGTCGGGAGAAACGATCAAAACTGAAATAAAAATAAGTGTTTTCCTTAGAAATATATCAAACACTCTCATCGAAATGTCCACCGCCCACCCCACCCACACACCCACCCACTCACCCCCACCCCACCCACACACTCACCCCCACCCCACCCCACCCACACACCCACCCACTCACCCCCACCCCACCCACTCACCCACCCCACCCATGCACCCACACATTCACCCCCACCCTCCCCACTCACCCCCACCCCACACCCACACCCACACACTCACCCCCACCCTACCCACTCACCCCAGCCCAACCACTCACACACCCACACACTTAACTCACCCCGCCCACGAATCTGCTCTCGATCACTTAGGAGACGACTGGAATATACATCGGGATTCCACTTTCCTGTTGCTGCCAGACGTATTGTGGAAATGCCTTTTCTAACGGAGAATTAACCGCCCAATTCAATCACCCTAATAAGACTCCTTCGCGCCAGTCCCATTTTGCTGAATACCAGATCTCATTAAACGTAAATCCTCCATTTGCACATGCGGAGAAAGACCGTTGCTTAATATTTGAAAGGCACTTCATTCAATTAACCTAATAACGAATCCTTCACCCGAGATCCCATTATGATAAATACCAAATCTGATTAAACTGTATTCTCCATTTGAAAAATACGGAGAAAGACCGTTACGTTAAAATTTGAATGGCCCGTACCCCCCCCACCCCCCTCCACCCCCTCCCCCCCACCCCATATTCCCTAGGCGCGTTTCCCCTTCATTATTCTCGTCTCAATTTGGTCCAATTTCCATAATATGCTCCTCATTGTGCACGCATGTCACCTTTAATTACCTGCAAGAGGAGTTTTTCCTCGAGTTTCATAGAATACTCGAAATGCGTTCATATCAAGTCCGCCATTTTGATAATTCCCTTTTCGTTAGACAAAGACAAAGGAGAATGTGACGTGAATCGCTTATTTTTTCTTTCTTTTCTTCTTCTTCTTCTTCTTCTTTTTCTTTTTTCTTTTTCCCTTTTTTTTCTTCTTCTTCTTCTTCTTTTTCTTTTTCTTTTTCTTCTTCTTCTTCGTTTTCTTTTTCTTTTTCTTTTCTTTTTCTTTTTCTTTTTTCTTTTCTTCTTCTTCTTCTTCTTCTTCTTCTTCTTTTTTCTTTTTCCTTTTCTTCTTCTTCTTTTTCTTCTTCTTTTTCTTTTTCTTCTTCTTCATCTTCTTTTTTCTTCCTCTTCTTCTTCTTCTTCTTCTTCTTTTCGTTCCTTTCTTCTCGTTTTTTTTTTGTTGTTTGTTTGTTTTGTTTTTTTGCCGCCCGAAAATAAGCTTCTTGGCATTCTGTGCAATAAATCTCTCTGGATGAATTGCATTAGATTGGGAGCCACACCCACTCAGCACTCTGGGAAGGACGTGTTTTCTTTCTTTTCTTACTTTTATTTTGTGTCTTTTTTTACCTCTCTTTCTCTCTTTCTCGTGTTCTCTCCCTCTCTCTCTCTCTCTCTGCCTTTCTCTTTCTCTCACTCTCTCTCTCTCTCTCTCTCTCTCTCTCTCTTCTCTCTCTCTCTTCTCTCTCTCTCTCTCTCTCTCTCTCTCTCTCTCTCTCTCTCTCTCTCTCTCTCTCTCTCTCTCTCTCTCTCTCTCTCTCTCTCTCTCTCTCTCTCTTCTTCTCTCTCTTTCTCTTTCTCTTTCTCTCTCTCTCTCTTTCTCTCTCTCTCTCTCTCTCTCTCTCTCTCTCTCTCTCTCTCTCTCTCTCTCTCTCTCTCTCTCTCTCTCTCTCTCTCTCTCTCTCCCTCCCTCTCTCTCGCCGTATATCTACAGGACTACATACCCAGATTACACTATCTACCTATCTACCAAAATATCTTTCCACCAGCTTAATTGCAATTTTTATTCTACCTCTATACGAGTACCTATTCTACCATTGTCTTTATCTACCATTATTTTATCCAACCATTATCTTTATCTACCATTATCTTATCCTACAATTATCTTAATCTACCATTATCTTATCCAACCATTATCTTATCCAACCATTATCTTTATCTACAATTATCTTTATCAATTTTTTTGAGCCTGCTGCGTCACCCATCAGAAGAGAATGTCTCCCATTCTTTCGACCTTTCTCACCTCCCAGTCAGTTCTCCATCGCCCATTCCTCGTTCGCATCAGCACTAAGGTCCTGCGTCGTTAATTTAACACAGGGAGGGATCATCGCCCCCCCCCACCCACCCCACCCCCAGGTACTTATATAAGCAGGAGGGGTTGACGGTTTTCCTAGTTAAGGGTTAATTTAAGGGTTAATTTTTAATGAGGCGGTGGGAGGTTGGCGTCTCCGGGTGCACGTAGGAAATTTATGTATGGGTATGAGTGGGGTTTATTTTTTCGTGTTTTGTTTTTGTGTTTTTGATGCGTTTTTTTTTTTTTTTTTTTGTCTTTTTTCTTTTCTTTTTTTAAGGAGTAGGGGAAGGTTGAGTATTCTGATGTTTTTTTTGTTGTTTGTCGGTTCGTGTTTTGTGTCTCTGTATAGATGGGTGGATAGATAGACGGGTAGATGTAGATAATGATTAACAGATCGATAGCGTAGTTGTAATCAAAGTACATTTATATAATTAAACACAGGCAGATAGTTTAATAGACTGATAGGCAGACAGACCTACATAGCTAGATATTTAGACTAGATATGTAGAAAGACCGATAGTGCAATTGTAAACTAAAATTTGAAGATTAAACTGGAAAGCAACAGATGTAAACACTTTAATCAAGAATGAAGCTCTGAAACAGGATACAAACAGAAGTCGGTGTTTCCCAAGGGACAGAAGCTCCCATTGAACCGCTCTGGAGACCCCCGTTGGACTTTCCTACCTCGTCTGACTGCTTTAAATAATTTTAAGTAAGATAAGTAAGATCTATATTGCGCAGAGCCTCTCCCATTTTTTTTTTTTTTTTTTTTTTTTTTTTTTTTAGGTTTTCGTCGACATTAGCTTAATGTGATTTTTTTAAAGGTTGAAGTGTGATTTTGTGATAACCTCTTCGTCGGATTATCGATTGCGTTTTTATGAGTGTTTGTTGGTATTTTTTAAAGCAAGGAGTTTATGTAAGTAACGGCTTCTCCATCATTCTGTCACTTTGATTTGTGTGAACGTGGGTTCAGATGTTTTAAAGGTGACATCACAATACACTCTCCGTCGTTCAATCTACTTTATTTAAATAGTTTTTTTTTTTCTTCTTTTTGGTGAGATGATGAGAGAGAGAGAGAGAAGTAAAGATAAAGAGAAATAGATAAAAAGGAGAGAGCACTATAGAGTATTGACAAAAGAGTGAATCAGAGAAAGAAAAAATAATAGTCACAATAACCACTCCTTCCTCCAATCAACTTTGTTTTAATGGGATTTTTTTTTCCAAGTTGATGAAATGAAACAGCCGCTAAAAGAGAGGAATAAATGACGATGTTTCGAACTCGACTCGACTCATGAGACAATGAGAAAAGAAAATCATTTGTTTTACCACCTGATGACGAATGCAGTTTTTCGGAAACG